AGGTAATAATCGTCAATATTCATTTACAGAGGCACAGCATAGGGAAAAAAATTCCAACGAACCCAGCAGAACAGAATCAAAGCAACATTCTGTATAAACTACGGTTGAAACTGACCTGAATAATGCTTCTGTTTAACTCAATTACTGATGATTTTGCCATCAAGTGTGGATTCTTGAGCAACTTTGTAGTCCGAGTCAACATCCGCTGCAAAATTGAAGCTGGAGGATTATGGGTATTGTCAATGACCCTCGCCAAGCACAAAGCTGCACCCGATTGCACCTGCTTATTTTGTTCACCTAATGCTTCGAAAAGTGGCTTCACCAACGCAACAAAAACCCCATTATTGTCAAGTTCCTGATTACTCAATTTTGAAGCCAAAACACCAAATGTTTCTTGGCAAGCATCCCTGACAACCGAGTCTGGGTCCTTGAGCCTCCTAACGATGCTAGCAACCATCTTATTTAGATAGGGACCGATAAGACCGTCATGAAATCTAGCTAATGTAGCCATCAACCTGACGGATTCCTTTCGAACTGCACTCTTGTGCTCTGAATCAGTGTCGAGTATACATGACAAAAATGGGGAAATCTTATCTGGAGTTAAACATTCTGCTGTTTTCTCCAGCTCATCAACACCTATTTGATAGGTATCTCTGTCGGCTAACTTGTTCAGCGCAAGATTCACCTTACTTTTAAGCTCAAAAACTACCTGTTGCGAATTAATCTTAGAGGGTCCTTTTGCGTTGGTATGCGTGCGTGCCTTCATCTTGTTACTTGTAACGCTCCTATCTTACATCATCTATGGCCTAAAGAATTTCAAAGGAAGGGCCAACACCATTGCTTGAAACCTGAATTAGCGTAACAAAACCAAAAAAAAAAAAAAATCTAAGGTTTCATTTGAATACGGGTAGGAAATATTAAAAATTAAAAGCATCAATTTCCATTCAATTCTAATAACTAGTGTTAGGGGAACAAACAAGAACCAACTTTAGAAGGAGAATAGTTGCATTTTTGATTCCATAAATGGTAGTTAATTTGAAAAACAGAAAACTCTGGGGCCTAGCACAAGAACTGAACCAGGAAGATACCAATTTCAAATTTTTTACTTACTTTCTCTTTCTTTTTTCTTAGATTTTCTGGTTAAACAAACAGAAACATAGCTTAAAGCACCACTTCGAAAACAGCATAAAATGTCAAGAAAAAAAAAAGGAAAACTAAAACACAAAATACACAAGAAAGATCAGCTTACTTTAGTGATGAAATGCGGGACACTCCAAGGATGAAGAAAACTCAAATAAACCAAGCAAGCAACATCATTTTACAGCAAATGGAAACTTAAAAAGTTACTCTCAGCTTCAAAGCTGAGTAAAAGTGGAAAATAGGAAGAAGAGATTCAAAATAATAAACTAAGGAAAGGAACGAATCTCACAGTAGTGGTTTCAAGAAAATCTTACCCGCACAGCACAAATGTCCTTTTGCTCTGCTTCAGTTTTCGCGCTTGCTCTTTGTGTTTCGAATTTTGGGGAGCGCTTTGGGATCTCGCCCCATCACGTCCGCCACGTGCCGCTTTAAGGGCATCATCTGCCTCCGTTTAAAGTTTCAAATTTCTTTTCTCTCCTTTTTCACAGCGAGAAACAAAAAACAAAATTTAACACCAGGTACAAAATAAAATTATAGAATTTTATCACTACTCAAAATTTAAAATAAATTTTTATTTGACATACAAATAAATTCAATAGCATCTCGTCTTTCTTAACTTTTATTAGTAGTATATGATCAAAGAATGTCTTCCTACTTTTCCTATACCTTATTTCCTCTTCAAACAATTTCAATGTTTTACTTAGAATCCAATATTATATATATAGATGATTGACTTAGTGCAAGTGAGAGACTGATAATATTAGTATACCTTACAAGCCAATCCAACCAGATTGATTGTACATAAATATTTATTGTATTTAAGTATTTATTATTTAGGCTAAATTCTATATACACTCACATTTTCTGACCTAATATTTTAAGATTCTTTTTCTCCCAATCAAAATCTTATGTTTTGTTATGGTTCTCATAGAGGGTAACAATGTTAAATTTTCGCTAAAATGGGTAATAAAATCTTTATAATTTTTAACCAAAAATAAATAAAATCCTTATATTTAAAAATCTTATTTTCTTCATTTGAATCCTAGATTTCTAATTTTAATATTTTATGTTTCTGAGATGGGGAATGGGTGGAGGCACCTTGTAAAGGCCAATCATGGTGTCGCAAAATGTTGTGGGATAAGAAGGTTGTCCCAAGGAGGAAGGGTTTTAAAGCAAGTTTATGTTTATATGGGGACATGGTTGCAACAAAACTTGAATATTTTAGTATTAATGAATTTACTCCATGAGGAATAGCAAGTTGAAGGAATAGCAAGTTATAAGAATGTTGTGAAGGGATCAACCTTAAATTGAAGAAGTTTCCAAGCACTGACAGAGTCAAAAGGGTGACTAGTGAAGAGCTCTAGTTATATTTCTTTTTTTTTCTCTTTCTTGAGAAATTAGAGTGTGAGAAATACTTTAAAATTTGTTGCAAGAGATTAGAGCTTGGGTTAGAACCTCACCTTGTAAAAACTTGGTGGAAGCTGTTAACTTTACTAGTATAGTGAAGTTATGTTAAAAATCTTTGATTAGAAGATCGAGGTAGTGGATGTAGATCAAGAAGACTGAATTATTGTAAATACTTTTGCATTGTCCATTTCTCTTTATCTTTTCTTACTAGGTATCTTTCAACTACAACAAGCTTTAAATCCTTCTTCTTCCAATTGGTTCAAAGTTCTATAATTTAAAAAAAGCTGATCTTAAAATTTTTAATGCTATTCACCCCCCCCCTTCTAGCACTCTGACAGGACCAACAAAGCTGTATGCCGAATCCTTGCACATTTGAACATTGAAACATCATTAGGCATTCTGGTGTCTCAATCTAAGATTGGATATCCAGACGAAGAACTCTCTCCAAAATGGGGTATATTGAAAACATTACTATTAGTACTTGGGTTCATAAACGGCGCCTTCAAGATGATATTGGTAATGATGATGATGATGATAAGGATGCTCTTCCTCATGCTCCATCTTCACCTCTATCGACTGGACTGTCATCTAGTACTATGCCATCCACCTCATCTACTCTCCCAAGTAATGTTTTGTCTTTTGAGGATGTCTACAACACCTTGCTTGCCTGGCTTGACTCTATCTTGGGAAACCAAGCTACTATGAGGTCCAAAATTGATGACAATGCTAGCTATTTAAACTTTTTTCAAGACACTCTTGAAGAGAAATTTGATGCTGTCAATCATGTTATGACCTCCTGTTTTAACAACATTGATCAACGCATTTAACTCATGCTCTAGCAACCAAGAATCCATGGAAGCTCATATTGTCCAATTCCTCCAAAAATGAGGGCCTTAATTTCCTTGGATGATTTACACAACTCACATTCTCATGCACCTCATGTTTATTGTTATATGAATGCTTATCTTTATATGGTTGTTTATTATTATGCCAAAATTTTCATTATATATACATATATGGCATAATGTTCTTGGTTGATCATTGCTTGGTTCCTATTATTGCTTATCACTTGATTTTCTTGCCTATTTTACTATTCTTAATGCTTATACACTTGGTGATGATTTTCACTAACCTTTGCCTTTTGAGCTTAAAGTTGCTAACGTTCACACTTAAATACCTTTTTGATATAACAAAAAAAGGGAGATGTTTCATGAGCACATTTGCATGCTCTTATATATTTACCTACAGCTGAAACTTTGAGAAAGCTGAAACTTTATGAAACTATGTGTTTTTAGCTAAAGGAAACCAAGAGCAAACATTCAAACTAATCTAGGATCCACTATATTGTTCCATACTCGATCCTATATGCACAAATGAAGAGAAAATTAGGGATGTCTCGGGATTAGGATCGATTATGCACTTTGAAACCTGATCATAAGGTTGAATGCTAGAAAAAAATTGAAGGAAGCTTAAGAGTATCAACTTTAGACAAGCCATACTTAATCCTAAAGGGAAGAAAAAAAGCCAAAGAGTTGGAAGCTTAGAAGATCAACTTTCACATTACCATACTTGATCCTAGAGCAAGAAAAAAGGAAATAATGCAAGCATTAGGTTGAGGATTCATTCCCACTTTAAAAATTCAAGCTTCGAAGCACAAATTGAAGAAATTCAAAATCGAGATCGACTTCTTTTTCCATATTCAATCCTAAATATGTGGTAAGTATGCATTTAAGCTATCTTCTAATCCAACTTGTCTCTAACGGCTCTAAATTGTTGAAAGGGTATAAACGAAGGCTTCCCACTCTATTTGCAATAAGAGAAGACTTCGAAATTCACTATAAGATTTGAGAAAAACATCAGCTTCACTTACTTTGCTCATTTACCTCATTTAAGTCTTCCTTTCAAAAGTATTTAAAGCTTTCGTTGATTATCTTGAGTTGATATTCTGAAATTTATTATACCTATTCTCTTTCAAGCTTGAACACTTAGCTTCTGCCTTTAAGAGGTATTTATTATTATTCTTGCTTTGTAAACACTCATGTAAAGGTTCTAACTTAACCTTGCAAGTTAGTATGGGTTATGCGTGCTTTCGTAAAAAAGGTATTGTGTGGATTGTGTTGCTTTTATAAAAAGGCATTATGAAGGTTGTGCTTGAGCCCAAAAAAAGGCATTGTGAAGGTTATACTTGAGCCTTAAAAAATATTTTTCATAGCGGATTTAACATTCTTTAGTAAGCTAAGCGAGAGGATGTAAGTAAGGAGGTTGACCCTCCATAAAAATTCTTGTGTGTTTGTTCTTAGTTTGTGTAGATACCTAATTCTGATTATACAGAAAAACTACATCAAGGATGTTCCAAGCATAGAAGAGCCGAGGGGCATTCCTGCCTGGGGTGTTCCAAGGATGAAAGTGCTTAAGGTGTTCTAAGTGTAGAAGCACCTAGAGGTGTTCCAAGCATGGAAGCACATAAAGGCGTTCCAAGTGCAAAAGCTCTCAAGGGTGTTCAAAGTACAGAAACACCTAAGGGTATTCCAAGTGTAGAAATGCCCAAAGGTGTTCCTAGTATAGAAGCGCCCAGGGGTGTTCCTAGTACAGAAGGGCCCAAAGGCGTTCCAAGCATGGAAATGCCCAAGGGCATTCCCAACGCAGAGGCATCGAGGGGCATTCCAAGTACAGAAGCCCCTAGAGATGTTCCCAGTGCAAAAATGCCCAGGGTTGTTCCTATTACAGAAGAGCCCAGGAGCATTCCAAGCGTGAAAGTGCCCAAGGGCGTTCCAAGCACAGAAATGCTTAGGGATGTTCCAAGCGCAGAAATGCCTAGAGATATTCCAAGTGTAGAAGCGCCTAAAAAGCATTACAAGCATAGAAACACCCAAAAACAAGTATGGAATAGCTATTTGTACGAAGAATGAAAGTAACTCAAAACAAGTGGGAGGGTTCATGAGTTACCTTCACATTTGGGATGTTTTAGAGAGTTTGGCTTGGTAGCTTAGATATGTAGATAGTTAAGAAGACTTTCTCTTAACCTTTCCTTGAAGTACATGTGCTTTACACCTTTTTCTTTTTTTACTCCTTAAAAATACACGGACGCACTATCAAATGCCACTACTCCATTTACCCAAAACTTATACTCACTACTCAACTACATGATCATTTTTTTCATATCCCGTAAACTGTTCTTTAACTATTCTTCCATAACAAGCATGTTTTCCCATGATTAAATGTGCTTTCCTAACAACTCCTAAGAAAGTGTTCTTGTTCAGTATAAACATGAGAGAATTGAAAATTGGAGAAGGGGGAGAAATTATTAGAAACCCAGTAGAGATTATACTAAAAAGCTCTCTCAAGACTCTTTCACATAGTCTTTCTATTTAGCCTTTTCTCATTCGCTATTGTTCGCCGCTCTTGCTACCTTTTCTCATCGCTCACCACTTGCCACCCAAAGCACTTATGCTTCAAAGACTGCTTCAGTCTTCCTCTCTGTCGCCTTTAGTGCATCTCAATTTACTCATTGCAACATGTCCTCCCCCTTAACTAAAAGAACCCTCTACATTTTGGCGACTTCGTTAGGGATGAGTGATTGTAGTAAGTGAATATTAGTCAAAAATTTCTATCTAAAGATATGAAGAGTTCTCTCAACAATCAAGAAATTACAATTCCCACTTATGTCTAAGAGCTCATGAAAATGCTCTAATTGCCTAATATTTCTTTTACTTTTAATTCATTATTAGCCGTAACTTTATCGCTTTCATTTTGACTGTCTTGTGATATGTTAAAGTAAATTCATTTTCAGCTGCAAGCTTAATCACTCTTATTTTGGTTGTAATATTGTTGTTTCACTTGGTCGAAAGTGTTATGCTCGAATCTTTCACCATATAATCTATATTTTAACCGTAAACTTTAATGCTTACAATCTAGCTGTAATAATATTACACTATTGGCCGTAAGCTTTATCACTCACTTCTTGGACACAGTTTGCTATTTACATATTGGCAGTAAGCTTTATTACTCACTTTTTGGCTATAGTTTACTATTCACAAATTGGCTGCCAATTTAATCGCTCACTTCTTGGTTATAGTTTGCTATCCACATATTGGCTACAAGCTTAATCACTCACTTCTTGGTCATAGTTTGCTATTCACAAATTAGCTGCAAGCTTTATCACTCACTTCTTAGCCATGGTTTGCTATTCACAAAAAGGCCGCAGCATTAAACACTCATGTAATATGTCATTCTCCTTCATATTAGGTTGAGGATTACTCTCCTTAATATAAAGTTGAGAATCCCTTTTGGCCACACACAGCAATACTTGTGCTTTGGCCTTAGCCACGCAAGTGTCAAGGCATTTAATGTGACAATTAGAGAAAAGAACATCTTCCATAAGACCCACCATCTTTTGTAATTCTTCGAGAGAAATGTTTGCCCAGGGGAGGAAACAATCTCTATAGTAGTACCCAAGCTATCCATGATGGCTTTATTCAAGAATTTGTGTTTAAATGCCAAAATTCACTTTCTACTTTATAGACATGCTGTAATAGCTGCAAATGTTGTGGCATGACTAGAATGCCATGAAAGTTTTCCAAATAGGTGTCAGAAGCATCATTACTACGTTCTACCATTAAAAAAAAAAGATGGCATACAGTGAGCAGTAAGAAAGAGGCATAACAATATTTAAACAAATTATATTTAAGTTATTTTATACACCTTTAAGAGAAAAGGAAGAATTGTGAGTAGAATTTGGAACATCCCTGGAAGAAGAAACATTGCAAATAGTATTTAGAAAACCCACATGAGAAGAAGCATTGCGACTAACATTTGAAACATTCTCAAAAGAAGAAATGTTGCGAGTAGCACCAAGAGTAACATCGATTGTAAAGTTGTTCTGAATACTGCGAGTAACTCCAAAGGTTCCCCCAGCAATGATATTTACATTGTTATGTTGAAATGTTCCAAAGCCAAACCCAAGAGCACTCTGATCGTTTTGGTTAATGGCATTCACGTCATCACCACCAACTCTAATAGTAGCATCCACATCACCATCATTGACTCCTGTAATGCCATTCATCTCATCTCCACCAACACTTTATATAATAAAGGGTAAGAAATCAATTATATCTATCAGACCTCTTTGTATAACATTACCATTTACCTCTCCTCCCAAACTCTAATGTTTATGTTTGGGAAACCTCTCCTCAATTGACTCATCATTGGACTCATGGTTATTTGTGTGGTCGCATGATTCTTCTTCACTTTCAGACTCTGAGATAACTTGTCTTTCTACTACTACACTTGGAAATGATTTTTCTTAAAAAAAAAAAAGAAAGAGTTCAAATATCTACATGAGAATGAAAGGGAAAGGGAGATAAAGAAAAGCAAGAAACAAGTTTACCCGACAAGGGCTTTTGTTCCTCTTAGAGTGAATCAAACGAAGTGACATGTCATTATTACTAATGGAAGGAACATGCAATTGCACCTTAAGATCAGGTACGACAAATGAAGTCCATTCTTGAAGACAATTTCCCTAATAAGCATACCAACCAACAATACAGGCACCTATTCTGTCAAAGGTTGGGACAACACAGTTTTTTAATTTATCCACAGTACGATTGGGCATACCAATAAGGAATATGAAAGTGCAAGAGGAGAAGTTTTCAAGAAAAGAGGGTCTTGGTAGAGTTAGCTGATCATATCCAAATAGACGTGCCATTCTGTAAGGAGAATATACTTCGACAGATAATGAATCCTTATTAACACCTAAACTAGTTGTCTCAATCATGGAAGGTAGTTGGGAAAAATGAACCCACACTAAGAAGTTCAATCCCCGTGAGCTCGTTTGCCTATTTTAAATGGTCATCTATCATAATAAATAGTTGGATCCCCAAAACCAAGGTTTGATCTCACAGAAGGCCTTGCGATAAATTGATCTACTTTATCTAACACCTTAAAAATGTTGTCCTTGGAAATTTGGTCATGCCATGCCCAAGCTCTATAATTATCTCTTAAAGCTGTATTTGTAGAAAAAGACATAGGAGGTAGATACACATTAGAAGTGAGGGCACAACTATGGAATCTCTCCCATAAAAACATCTAAGTAAAAGATACATCCCCATAAGTCAAGACTTTGTAACGGCCAACTGATTCAGCAGTCTTAGAATGCTACAAGTTTAACTTCCTATACATGGATCCCAGATATAATGGAGTAAGAGGAAAGCTCATACCTTTAGCAATTTTGATTACATAAGGAATAACTAAAGAGGAGATTCCATCATTTGGATAACTTGGGAAGACATACTAAGCCAACCACATAATCAACAAAGCTACTAACTTATGAATGTGATCAGGATACTTAGGAGGATTACTTTCACCTTTAATGTTGAACTCCTTATAAGAGAGTCCTACCTAGTTGGAGAAGTGCGCCACTTTGGAAACCTTAACTTAGCTCTTAAACAAGTCGATAAAGAACTCCTTGACTCTTTTTTACTTTTTAGAAAGTATAATGGAACGAAGGTCATCTCTACCAACACAAGGAAGTTTCAAAAGAATGCGCACATCTTCAAGAGTGAAAGTAAACTCTCCCCAAACAGTAACCATGGTACTTGAAAAGGTACTTCACCGTGCAAGAATAGTGAGCTATACTTCAATTCTGGTTTCCTTACAAATATGAAGTTTTACGATGACTCTTACAACGTCAAAGACTCTAGTATGGTTGAGAGTAGTCACATAAGTGGAATTCTTTAAGATTTTCTCTACCCATTCATCCCAACCTTGGACCCATAATGAATTAGAACCAAATTTAGTGACTGAAAGAGGAAATTCACCATGTTCAAATCTAAACTTCAGTACTGACATTCCTAGGATCAAACATCTTCTATCTAGAGCTGCTTCATTACAAATACGATCCCAATGATAGCCAGCAGATGCACATGGATGCCTATCTACCTATTTTGCATGCACTACTTCCCAAAAGCAATCTTCTTCTCCTTCTCTGATGATACTATTAACCTAATTTTCTAGCAGAAGAGGTACTTCACTAGTTCTCACTACTTGCATTTTCTTAAAAAGAGAGGTTGCAGTAGTATTCTTCTTTTTCTTCCCCAGAACAGCCCTACCAAGCTCACCATAACGAACTTTCGAGGTAAAATGAGTTCTAGCCATAAGAAGAGGCAACAAAATTCGTACAAGCACAAATGACACATAAACAACCAGATACGTACTCATGCACTACCATTCCTACTTACGTATTAATATCCCGTGTTTATTTATTTTTTCTTATTTGTGCATCATATTTTTTTTATTATTCCTTTATGCCAAACAAAACGAATAAAGATATATGTATATAAATGACTAAACAAAAAAAAATCTTTGAAAAAGAAACAAGTCATAATAAATAAATACTCCTTTTATGTTAAAATAAATAAAATAACAAATTAGTATTCATTCTAATTTCCAAATCTTTCCTAACATTGAAGATGTTCATTTTCTGTGCAATTTTTTTTGGTAGTCTATAATCCATATATATATGCTAAAAAAAAAATTTAGTGAAAAGCCTTAGAAGTTCATTGTGAGTTTCTATACTACCTAACTACATGATCATTCTTTTAATATCCTGTAAATTATTTTTTAATTGTTCTTCCATGATTAAACGTGTTCTCCTAACAACTCTTAAGAAAGTGTTTTTATTCAGTATAAATATGTGAGTCTTGAAAATTGGAGAGATGGGAGAAATTATTAGAAACCTAACAGAGATTATACTAAAAAGCTCTCTCAAGACTCTTCCACATAGTCTTTCTATCCAATCCTTTCTCATTAGCCATTGTCTGCTGCTATTTTTATCTTTTCTCATTCCTCACCACCTGCCATCCAAAGCACTTACGCTTCAAGGACTACTCCAGTCTTCCTCTTTGCCGCCTCT